TTCTCATGAAGCCGGACAACTTTCTATATCATAGTCATTAGCTCCGCCCAACAGGTAGTAAGCTATTTTGGATTGAATGTGGATTTTTTTTTAAATCTCGGAAATGTTCAAACTCATGTGATCACCAAAGTTGGTCAACGTAAAACACCAAGACATTGAAGATGCTGAATGACAAACAGATTTTTGATATCTCAAATGGTGTTGCCATGGCATGGGATTAAATGAATGACAAAAATGGAAATCAGGAAGAGTCTCATATCTTCTAAGTGCATTGTCTAATTTAGATCAAACTGGGGTTCTATATTTTGTAATATTCTAGTCTGTATTGGTGCTTACCAAGTATAATATAAATAAAACTGCAACAGAAAAATAGATGAATGAATCATATAACAGAAAATGGAATGGGATATGTGCTGATTTATGAATATTATGTCTCGGTAGGTCAGCTACCGCATTTCTGTTTTCCAAAAAAGTTCTCTCATATTGATCTACGGCTTAAATCCCCTCGTTCTGACCCTTGATGTCAGTGACGTGAAACTTCAGATGACTCACTTACAGGAAGAGCGAGTTTGACACGATTTTATGATTACACGGTGATCACAACACTCACTGAGCAGCAGAATTAATGACCTTATCACGTCACGTCTAACAACGTTATTTTTCGTGACTATCAAAGTCAGTTCAGGCCTAAGGCTGCGTTCTGATTCTTACACCAATCTGTGTCCGTTTAAACACAGATCAGGCGTTGCCCTTCTGTTACACATTTCTATGCTGCATCGAAGTGCATTTTGATTGCACCGTAGCCTCGGATGACGGTTCATCTGGAGGTGTTATAAATCTCTGATAATTCACAGGGCGTGAAGGACTGCAGGTGTATCCGTGCAGCAGCGAGCATGGAGCTCCCACACCCCTCTCCGCTTTATATTGGAAGTCTTAGCACACGCTCACTATTTTTCACCAGCGGTTCAGACCCGGCACCCAGTGATAGACAGGCATGTCATCTCATTTTTTGTGTGCCTTCACAGCTGTGGGTGCATCAAGCGGTGGATGAGATGCTTTTGTTCGGTGTGTCTCACGAAGCACAGATGCAGGAGTTCACAGCTTAGATTGGGGTACGATCTGATTTGGCACTCGTGTCGTTTGCAGCTTCCTCTCTCACGCGCCACCCACGACACAACGGAAGAGATTTAACCCCCTCTTAATTCAGCGCAATTCTATGAGGTTATTGTACGGTGGGGCACATCAGGAGTCGAGCCAGTGCGGTTAGACAGTGCGATCCTTATGTGCCATATACCACACGCCACCCCCTCCATCTAAACGGACGCTCTATGTGTCAAATTCTAAAGCTGGTCTCTCTCGTTTTCAAAAGGACCCCTCCTCGCATACCCTCACTCCCATTCATTTCATCTGTGGCTCGCTCCCTGCCATAACACAGCCACACAACAGGCAACTCTCTCAGCCCTCCCTGTTGCCATGACAACCCCACCTCCAGCCGCTGCTTCTGTTCAGTCGGAGAACACATACGTAAATATTTTGTGTGCGCATGCGTTGTGTGTACAGACACATCAGACCTTTTGCTCGTAGGATATAGACCACACACCCCTATATTGAGTTGTGCATTTGAGCAATTACCAATTATATCTTAGCAAATGAGGAGCCTAATTATCAAATCTATATTGTCGAGAAATATAGACGTTGTTTGAAATGAATCTTTTGTTCAGCAAGCTCTGCATATAAATGAGTTGAAGGCATCTCTGCAACATTAGAAGCAAAACCGACTTAATTTGCTCGGGCGGGTTTGAAATGCATGTGGCAAAAGTGAAGCTTATCCATCCAGCTGCCTATGGATTCAGATACTGCCTGCGTCTAAAACCAATGCTTCACCTCCAGTTTAGAGTGCTAAAATTCATGGATGGATATGGTTTGAAATTAAGAGGCTGGTTTTGAAAGGATTGAAGCTTCCGTGAAAGAATGAGATCAGAATACAGGAAGTGGGCGGAACATCAAAGATGGGATTAGGATGTTGGGCAAAATTATGATGCCTGTGGCATGGGTATTATCAAATTTGTTTCCAATTCCAATTTTTCCAGTGCAGAAACAGAAACAGTAGGGGGTGGTTATAAAGAAAAGGCTAGGATGCGTTCAGTGTCTTAAATCTACATCCCTAGGCATTAGAATTAATAAAACCAGAATTCCCCTAAATGTGTGTATAGACTTCCACATGTCAGTTTTTAAAATGAATGTGAACCTAAACAAGAAGAACACTATATCAGTTGAATAAATAATAAAAAGTGCCATCCGTCCTCATGCCATTCCAAACCTGTATGTCTTTCTTTCTTCCTTGGAATACAAAAGGAATCCAGACAATAAAAATCAGTGGGGTCCAATATTGTTTTAGACTCTTTCACTGCATAGATAAAAATAAATTTTTTTAAATATCTCCTTTTGTGTTCCACGGAAGAAATAAAGTCATTTGGGTTTAGAATGGCACCATTTTGGGCTGAACAATCCCTTTAATGTAAATGTAGCATTTAGAAAACTTGCAGATGCATTGCAGATGTTCATATACAAGGAAGCCCTCATTTACAAAATGTGCTAACCAAACAATCCTACTTCTACTTATCCGAGTGTTTGAGTTGTGTATGGATGAGTAAGTCATGTTCTCCTACCTTCTTCCTCACTGGATTCCCTCTGAATGGTGCTATAGACCGGGGTCACAATGGTTGCACTGGTTGCAACTGGAGTGCTCTTGGTAAAAATGCCACTAATAAATCTTAGCATCTTGCGGTCACGTGCTGAAGCCCCCTGGGACTGAGCTGTTCTAAAGTCTGCTACCATTTGACCACCTTTGCACTTCAGGAGGTCCTCGGACAGACAGTTCAGGTCACTGTTGTCCAAGGTGCGACTCTTTCCTTTGCGTTGAGGCTTGGTAATCAAGGCGACAGGGGTCGGAAGAGATGTAGATCCCGCCTTTAACCTCTCAGCTCGAGGGCTTTGGGTTCGCATGGCTATGATGTCCCCTTCAGTGGGCCTCTTCATCCCAACACCCCCTCTCTTCATCGGGTCTTCATCGCAAGGTTTCACTTCGCTTACAGCCCACGATGCCCGAAAAGATCCAGGAGTCGGGCTGGTTGGGGACTGGATCCTGGTCCGACTGTCCTTACGGTCAAGGCTCTTGGAGGAGGCATGGATGCTCTCTCTGGACTCCTTGAATTCACGGCCACCGCCGTGAGCTTTAAGGAGTGACACGGGCCGCTGGGTCGCACGCACTGGGATGTCACCAAGATGCCTGGCTACATCCCGGGGGAAAGAGGTTTGAGGGATTTCAGTGGATTCTCTGGCTCTTCCATTCTCTGTGGAGGGTGAGATCGTTGATTTTTGGGGATGAACACCATCTGCAAAACGTGCCTTGTCCTCCCTTGGGCTTTGGAGTATTTCCTGTTCCACAGAGAATTTGACAGATTCTCCAGCTTCCAGCTCAACAGCCTCACCCATTTTCTGCCGTTCCTGGCCCTCATTACTGGATCCAGTGTGCTTGAGATGTTTCGCTCCATCAGAATCGTACACTGCTCCCCCCACAGCCGGCCTGGACCTCTCCAACTCATTCTCCTCAGTGGTTTCTACCTTCACCAGCGTGAGGGAGATAAGGTAGGTGGTTTTTGGCTGTGACGTCCCGGTTCGGTTCATGTGGTCCAGAATTTCTCAACAGACCAAGGACAGAAAATAAATTCAAAGAGTCAAATAATCTTCTTCTTCGCTTGTTCAATGTCTTCCACAACAGAAAGAAATCACAGAAAGAGACAATTCAGGCAAGTATGTCAAAAAGAAGTGAACCGTGACCTCGTTCCCTAGACTGGGAAAAAATGTAGCTAATGTCCTTTGTGCTCTTTCACACCTTCATGTTTTGTCCTAGACTTCATTCTCTTCATTTTGCTGTCCTCTCACACCTATTTTAAGCATGCAGACATGTGCCCACCTCTCCACACCTGCATGAAAAGCATGCTCCCGATTCCATTGACTAAATTCAACAAGAGACAGATTCGTAGGCAAAAATGACAATACACGAGAACGAAACGGGCTCGAAAATTCCTTCAAGGACGACAAAGAGTAAAATTACATCTGGGAGACATGCAGAACTGGTAACCTCAGATCAAGGCACATCGTTTCACCAACCTGCTCCACGGCGTGCGCAGGAGACGCTGACAGACTGAAGAGTCAAACTGGGGAGTCAGTCTACATGCCACATGGATCGGTGCAAACGTTCACGGCAAGTCCACAGAGAGAGATCCCAGTGTCCCCACACAGAGTCTATCCATCATGCCTCCGGTGATCGGTGCGTCAAGCAGTCGGGGATGTCAATAAAGCAGACACGCAAGACAATCATGCTTCGTTCTAGAGTGGAAGCTGCATCTCACGCCAAAGGTTTAGATGAGTCACGCATCATGAACAAGGGTCCCTCAGATCTCTCCAGTGGAAGGTCTTCTTCAAACCCACGCAGAACGGCACCGTGCAGGAATACCCTGCTCTCTCCATCTCCTGCTTCTCTCTCTCTCTCTCTCTGCCCTTGTCACCAGCCAGACAGCTCCCAGCCCCTGCTTTCCACAGCCTGCTACCCCCTCCTCTCGCTCTCCCTCCCTCCCTCTCTTGCCTTCTCCCTCTCTTTTCTCTCGCTTGCACACTCTCTCCTGCTTAAAAAGCGAGAATCAGTGATGTGTTGAGGAATAAAGACAGACTGTAAAGCTTGCGAGGTTCTGACAGCGAAAGAGGGTCAACCGCACAAGAAAAACACAAATATGTGGTTACGTGCAAAGCTAATCGAGACTGACACATCAATCAAGCAAATTTTGCACCAGTGCCGTATCAGGCAGCAATGTGCCAGATATCACATTCACAGTCAGTACAGTGATTCAGGAGCCGCCGTGTCCCCCCCACCTTTTCTTTCCTAGACACTGAGCTTGCTTGTTACCAAGGTATTCCGAGGCTAAACTCCTCCTCCTTCATGCACTGATTCCATCTAGTCTCTGGCTCCCATTCGCTATCTCCATATCTAACCCCCTGCTCTGTGCACTCACTGTCCTTGCCAAGGTGTGTATGCATGAGTAAGTGATTGTGTGAGGGCATGCAATATTATTGACAAATTTATTGACTGATCTGTTTGTCAAGTGGACTTGATTAAATTGTACATTGAGTAAATACTACACTCGAATTGATTCAATAGACTCTCAGAAAAAAAAAAGGTACAAAAGCTGTCTCTGGTGCAGAACCCTTTCAAAAGGTACTAATATGCACCATTTAGATACTAATATGTACACCTTAGGTACTAATATGTACCTTTAAGATACTAATATGAACCCGTTAGGGTACAAAGGTGTACCTTTTGAAATATCGCCTAGTGACAGCTTTTGTACCTTTTTTCTGAGAGTGTAGCAGGGATGAGAGTAAAAAAAAAAAAGCTGTCCCATGTAAGACTATTTGGATGTCTGGAGAAAAAAAAAATGACATCACCCCATTGAAATTATATATATATATATATATATATGTGTGTGTGTGTGTGTGTGTGTTTGTGTATATGTATGTATATATATATATATATATATATTTCTAAGAAATAATCTTGTAGAGGAAGGAGTTGCCTTTTTATTGACAGTCGTATTGAGTTTACAAATCAATAATATATGCTATTGATTGCTATCAATCATGAAGACAGGTGTCATATAGAACACAACTCAACTGAACATTTAGGAAGAGGGCATTCAGTTATTTGTTTGAATGTCTCTCATTTTCTTTTCTTTTTATTGATTTGCTTCTTTATTAATTAGTGGATTAGTCACTATTACTATTGCTCATAGTTAAGGTTAGGGATTTCAAAAAAACTCTTAAAGGGACAGTTCACCCAAAATTCCCCACTGAGATGTTTTTCAAAATATCTGATTTTGTATTCCACAGAAAAACAAAATGCATGCAGGTTTGGAATGGCATGAGTAGCTTAAATTCTGAAAGAAATTACCCTAGCAACCAACCACAAGATGCTAGTCTAGCAACACATTAGAAACCTCTCAAAACACCTTATTAACTGCATAGCAACATCCTGGCAAGCACAGGTAAATGCCACTCACATTGTCATCAGAAAATACAAAGCACTACTTTGTTTATATATATATAACATAGTATTGTTCTGCTAACTATAAAATTTCCCAGTAGACATCTCTGTTTTGGAGATCTCACACTCATAAATATATTTTCCCCTTTCTCTTTCTTCCCTAGTTCGCTGTCACTCTGCCTGTCTCCCACTCTCTTGGCTCCCTGCAGTAAGCAACATTTAAATGTGTCAGTCCTATTCTCAAATCCCTATGCTCAGAAGCCAACAGCAATGACTTCCCCTTTACAGTTTCCTTCACTTTTATTTTATTCCCATCAAGCATAATTTGAATCATCATATGACTATGTGGGCTACATAAATCATATTCAAAGAGCATCCTCTTGTTTTCTTACTATTTGATTCTGCAAAGTTTGTTTACAGACATCATTAGTGATGCTGGTTACTGCAAGTGAACAAATGGAAAACAATAAAATGGGTTAAAAAGTCTAGGGACTATATGATAGAATTTATATCATAAGCTACCAGAATACCTCAGAGACCACCCAGAATATATTAACATCACTGTGGCAAGTTTTACATACAGTGAGTACTGAAAATATCGTTTGAATATTAGTTCTGGCTTACAGAAAAATAAGGTGTGAGATTATGCTCATAAAGTCTTCATATTGAGCCAGTTTGACGGATGCATAAAACGCTTACAAGAGGAAGTGCGCGGAGGAAGTAAATTATAAGGAGTATCAACAAACACTATATTAAAGATGCATTAGTCAGTGACACCATATATTCTGACCTTAAAATATGCACACGCCAATGCTTACAGCTAACACAGTACATAAATGTTTATAAATGTATAAAAGTTCAGAATTGAACTTTATGTCCTGCTCGATCGATACCAGATTAAATCAAATCAGACAACAAATTTCCCCCCCCAAAAAAAGTGTAATCTTGTGGAACTAAAAATAATTAGGTCAGATACTAAGCGTAAGAGTAGCACTCAATAGACAGGTGGTGCCTGAGATGAAGAGGATGTGGCTTTGGTGGGCAGCAAGAGAGCGTCAGACAGGAAATGGACCAGCACTTCGTGTTCAAAAGCTTGCCAGCATGACGACGTCTCTAAGATGGTGCTAATGTTTCAACCTGGGCCTCTTTAAATTAACATCCACGATTCTGATTCTACATCCGGACTGTAGTAACAGTTCATCATCACAGACTAATGGAGGAGCATGTGCATTTGGAGACGTCTGCTGGATGTATAATTCAATTTAACATGAGTTAAAACATTTATGTTCCTTTTTATCTGTCTGCCTTCCCTAAAATATACATTTGGGACATTTTATAATATGACATTATTACAAAACTCAAGATAGCGAATATAATACTGCAAAAAAGGAGCTTACACAAGGAGCTTATGAACGATTAGTAAACTTGTTTTCTTCTGAGGATGATCTAGATACGAAATACTATCAGAATCTGGCTCCAACATAGAGTTAAACTCAAACAGCGTGCAAGTCAGTCTTGGTAAGTCCAGACCCCTAAAGACCCTTAAGTCAACATCACACCTTGCAAAACGATATACGGGAATCTATCAGCAAGTGTTTTAGGGGACAAAATAAAAAATTTCATGACAGGCTCACCTTGAATGCTGTGGAGGAAAACCTTTAGTCCTGTCCTGAGCTGCTGGTCCTCAACCCTCTCCAACTGTTTGAGAAATTTGTTTATGGTGTTTTGCAAGCTTTCATGTCTTCTCACCTCAGCTCTAATTGCAGTCGAGTGTGTAACTTTATTTGTGCTATTCATATTTAGACCAATGTGACTGCTCAAAATGCATGGAGTTTCTCCTGTAACCCATCAGCATTTCCTGCCCGTTCTTTCATGTCAATGTCACGTACAGAAGCAGAAAGCTGTTCAGACTCTAGGTATGCAGCTCAGAGCAGAAGTAGTTTGCTTGCATGAATTTCCTCTCTCTCTCTCTCTCTCTCTTTCTCTCTCAGTTCACTTCCTGATTTTAAAAAGAGTCACCATCTCATAGGCTGCTTTCTCGCAAACAGGATTTTGTGGTAAATTCAAGGCAACCGTTACAAAAAATAATACGACTTTGGTTTCAAACTGCAAATAAGGTTTCAAAAAGACATACTCACGTTTATTTTCAGATTTAGAGCTGCAATGGTAAAACCTCAGTACTGATATAGGGGGAAAAAAACATATGATACCAATGATACAAACAGGTTTGTCAGACAAGGGTAATTTTCATAAAGGTTATGTCAGGACAGATTGTTTTAATGTTATATATTTTAATTATATAATAAACAATTAACAATCAATTAATAGTTAGATTTTTCTTTTCATTTTTCTTTTTTATATTTCATATAATATTTCATATAATTATTATTAAATAATAATATTTAATAGTATGTTCCTATTATGGCCACTTACCGTATTATGATTATACTTAAAAGGCAATGCTGTTTGTCAGAAATGGGTATTTTTTTAAAATGTAAATTCGGGCAGTTTGTCACATTAATATCTGGGACAATACAAGTGTTACAAGTTTTATCATTATTATTTAAAAATTACTTAATTTATTATTTATAATAGGCTATCTGTTATTGGCTTAAGTTATTATTATATTTTTTATATTTTATATAATATGCTATAATAATGGGTTACCATTGTGACAACTTATTCTATACAGTGTCAACATGTCGCTTTATTTTGTACTAAATATTTTAATGTATGTGCCTACATAAACTGACATTGAGAAATAAACCTATCCTGAGAAATAGTAACTGGACTGAAATGTGTGACAATTAGCCTCAGCCTACCCTATACAATTCCATAAAATATAAAGTAATATTTGGCATTTATGGGAGTTTCTCGCATGAGATGTAAAAACGTACCTAAATGTGAATTTCATAGTGTCATCGGGGATTCATAGTGTCTGATTCAGAATGTGGGCCTGTCTTTATCATCAGTCCTCAATGCAGCATCTTGTGTCTCACGCCCGTGACGACAGAGGGCGGGGATGAAGTGTGACGCGGTTTGTTGCTACTCTGTTCAGCCAATGATGCTTAAGCAGCACACAAGCTTCACTTCAGCGCTGTTTTAAATATCAGTCAACAAGGTGCGAAGGCTCGCTATTTACTGTAATCATTAAATCAGAACCCTCTTATTATTAGCATCTCAATAAACATAGTAATATCCCGAAGCATTATAAACAAACTCACGTTAAGCATGAAAATGATGACTTTGTGTGCAATAAAATACTTGCCTTCTCTTTCATGAAGCATGCGTGTTTGTGGACAGGTGGGCAAATTTACTGTGAAACCGTCCCTGATCATGTCTTCATCTCTTTAAGATGCTTAAGGTTTTTAATAAAATGAGTATGATGGCTTCTGTGGGATAATTAACAGCGAACTTGTTACATTATGATAATGCGCGTGTGCTGTTTGGTGGCAGAAGCGTTTGCTATCGCGAGAGGACAAGGAACGATAGTTATTTTTATAAATATATAAAATATATTATATAATTGTATTATATTTTATATTAATATTATATTAATATTATATTATATTTATATTAATTTCAAACACTTCCTTCATTTAAAAAATATTGAGATAAGAAAGGGAAGCCAGGTGTGTTTTTTCCCCTGGCCTTGAATATGGATTTTTTTTTTTTTTTCTGATTTAATATTTTGGACATCCCGGCTGTTATTTGTATAATTTTCATACGGTAGGTTTTATGTCAACGAAAATGTTCATGGCAAAGATTAGGAAATGCTCTCTTCTAGAGTCGAATCGCGTGTATTACAAGCAAAGCACGTGAGAGAAAGTTCTGCCGCTAGAGGGTCTGCGGTTGTGATTGACGTCACCGGCTGGTTCAGCCATAGAGATGGGAACCGATTTCCGCGAATCAGTTCTTTCGAACTATTCTTGTCAAAGAATCAATTAAAACGATTCAGCGATTCCTTTATTTCATGACCTACTTGCGTCATCACGTAGTCCAATGACATTCCGGCGTACATCCTTTAGAAACGTTTCTGTATGTAAGGAACACATTTCTGTTTATTATGTTTTATTTCAGTTTTAGTAACAAGAGTAGTTAATGGTAATTTCATGTGTATTAGTTCAGTTTGTTGCAGCTGTGATTCAGATATTTAAATATAGTTATTTAGAACCAAAATATAATTTACATTGGCATTAAACAATGAAAATTTTCATTTAGTCGCTGACTCCAGGGGCCAGTTGCATAAACTTAACCTTTATGTTAAGACAGTGTGTCTTTAAGAACTAGTCTGACCAATTAGCAGTTAGCTAAGGAGTAATCAGTTTTCTTTTTTGATTCAGCTTAGACTAATCTACGTTTTTATATAACCAAAAGTTTTAAATATTTTGATCATTCTTAAAGAAAAAAAAATGAGATGACTAACTTTTAAGACTTGTATAAAACTTTTATGCAACCGGCCCCACGAGCTAGGAGCGATTCAGATTAGGCTGTTTTGCGAACTGGTTCAATTGATTCATAGAAAATGTTCGACTCAAATGAACGATTCGTTCATGAATCGGACATCGCCACTGCTGCTCAGTGCTCACCACAAGAGAAGAAGAACAGCTTCTAGCATACTCACAGCAGCCAAAACAACATCTGTAGCACATCATTTCATCTCACCGGTAAATGCCTGAAGATTCAACATGGTTTGCGGAGGATTTACGTGCTCGAAAAACGCCCTCTGTTCGCTAAATGTAGTTTATATGGTGAGTCGCACATAACGTTACATGAATATATAGCTCAGCTAACGTTAGCAACGGCTAATCCGGTATAAATACTTAAAACATTTAGTTCACTTTATCTCACAATTTGTACTGAATTTAAGGCGTGTTATGAATATTTTACTGTATTTATATTTAATATAAAGGTGTCTGTGTAAGGTCATATGTGAGGTCTTTGTTTTCTAGCTATCAGTAGATGAAATAGCTAGCTGCTTATCTTCATAGGCGGTACTAGTTAAACAAAGCCTTCTAGTTTTAATTTCATTAAGGAATAAAAAGATCGGTTTGAAGTGTTAATATTAAGATTTTTTAGATTGTTTGTTGACATATCTTCTAAATGATGATTCGCCATCCAGTGTTGCATAGCCGCCCCTATGTTTGTGTAATCTGTTTTCATTTACTCGTTTTCTCTAAGAATAAGTATATTTCTTAATTACACTACTACATATGTATTTGTGTCTATTTCACTATTGATTGCCCTGGAAAATTTTTATATGGCAGCTTTATGTATGTATCTGTTAAAACTCAAATGTCTTGTCAAATATGGTTGAGTTAGTATGCAAGCTTGCTTAATATGATACATACAGAACTGAGTTACTGTTCATACTTCCATAATGCCTCTGACTCACACGAGTGATGAGAATACTGGGTTAAAAGTCATGGTGTCACAGTCACACTTAGCCTAAAATAAAGGACTTTGCACTCAGTCAGAGCTGTAAATGAGAAGGTGTGTTGCTAAATGACTTTGGGTGGCGTAGTCTAGTGGTTAAAGATCTGTGCTAGTAACCCAAAGGATAAAACCCTTAAAGGTAAAGCAGTTTCACCTCAGGTTGTCCACAGGGATTGCTTTTGTTATGAGTGTACTGTAAAATTATTGATTAAATATGGATCTTAAGCGGAAAAGTCAGGGTTATCACCATTCGGACCACTCTGTGGTGTGTTTGGTTTGGTTTTGGTTCACAATGTTCTCCATAATGCTGTAATCATAACCCTCATGTTGGCATTTAAAGAGGAACTGTGTGCACATTGTTCGGTCGGCTTTGGGTTTGACCTGTGATATGCTGCCCATGACAGTAATGCTGTTCGGTAAGGTTATGTTGAGACGCATGTTGCTCTCTGGACCTACAATCTTTATCCTGCTGCCCTTTGCTTTGAGTTATATAGATTCCAGACAAACCCTTAAACTGTACATTGACCCTACTCGCAGCTTAGCTTATAGAAATGATGTTTGATACACATTTTAGAAGTGTAACAGCATGTGAGTTGTGCTTCATGTTTCTGTTACAGTAGTTGTTATGAGTTTAAACGAAATGTAATGTACTCATCTTTAGGCACTGCAAAGTTGTAGACCTCACCTAAAGTCAACATGAAATTAAAATTGGCCCTATTTACTTATTGTGAATGATTCTTCAGTGCATCGGGTCATCTTGTTATTTTTCAAGTTCTTCTCTCCAACTACGTGGTCATATATGGAGGCCATGCCCAGTAAGCCACTGTTGGTAGTTAGAACTACACCATCTGGGGACAAAAGGCATCTTTTTCCATTGAAGGCCATTCATAATTTGCCATCTCAAAAGGATATTTGCAAGCAACAAAAGAATCGTAACTTATTTTATTTGAGATTTTTTTGCCAGTGGACTTTTTTATTTATTTATTTATTTAGTTTGATTTGATTTGATTTTACTTTTGTTTTATTTATTTATTTTTTTTTTTTCAATCATTAGTTTTTTCTTTTGTTTTGATTTGTTTAAATTTGATTGGCTTTATTTATTATGTATTTATTATTTTTATTTAATTGTTTTTTTCCCTGGCAAAATTGTATTTTATTTTATTTTGATTTCTTTTGTTTGTTTTGTTTGGTTAGTTTTTACTTTTTTAGTTTGTTTTATTAATTTTTTCAGTCAATTCTATGGATAAATTGTAATTTAAATTACAGAATTAGTAGAATTAATTCATTTAAAATGAAAGTTTGTTGTAACCATGCCAGTAGTGTTTTTATTGTATTTTATTATTATATATTTTTTTATATATAATTTCAATCAACTTAAAAAATAAAATCGAATTCCTCCCTAATTATTTTCTCTTTAAATATCTTGTTTAACTTGGAAATGTGTCACATACATTATGAAAGTGAAATGGGTTGTGAATGCCGTTTCATGTTGACTTTAAGCACAATATAGTGTTTTCACATACATTCTTATGTATTGTAAGGTTGTGACACGTTTCTGATTGGTCTTTTTTTCGTCCTCAGCTGGTGGGTCTCCTGTTGATTGTCGTAGCAGCATGGGGGAAAGGCTTCGGCATTGTCTCCAGCATCCACATCATCGGCGGCGTGATTGCCGTGGGCTTCTTTCTGCTGCTGATTGCCATTGTGGGACTCATTGGAGCCATCCATCATCACCAAGTCATGCTTTTCTTTGTATCCTTCAGAAGCCTTTGTACTGCCTGTTTT